TGCAAAAACAAGCTATCTAAAGATTTATGACATCCTGAACAGTGTTACCCGCTATAAATTAGATGCTATTCATATCGATCGCCCATTATCACGATGGATGACTGCCGGACAACATAAGCCATAAAAATATCCTGAAGACATGTCTCTCAAAAACAGTGTAATGTAAAATGAGGCTGTTAGCAAAATCCTACAAGCAAATGTACGGCTGTCTTAACAACTCATTTAAAAGAGCTCTCTAACTGTCAAAACTCCATAATTTCAGGCGCACGGCATTTGACAAATTAAAATATCACCTTCAAAGTCAGCTTCACAGACGATAAAACTCTAGCTCGTACTTATTCGAAGGTTAATTCAAAATGCGAGTAATTTATTGGGTACTAGAGTACATTTCTGTGTGCTTAAATAACACTAGTTCTTGCGTACTTTGACACTCAAGGTCAATGGAGTTCCCGGACTCGCGCACAGCCCCGAATGCTACGAATAAGTGCGAAAAACAAACGAAATTATGTTCTCTCTAGTCAAATACCAAGGTCACACTGATCTATAGAGATATTATATTTGTTTAGATGTAGCCCTAATCTATTACTTAACTGCATTTTTTCATCAGCTAAGCCTTTTAGCTCAAAGATTACACAAAATTGCGACTTTATAATAGTCCAAAATAGTGCGAATATTCGCAAAACAGTGTAAATGTATGATGTATTCTATAGCACAAAATATTTGTTGAGTAAAGTCCTTGAGAAGCTATATCTTAGATAATTACAATCCGTGTTGTGGCAGACGCGGCATGTCTCTGCGTGCCGCTAGTTAACATTCCTGATAGTTAAAAAGCATTCCTTCCGTTATACTGAACAATTTATACTTGAAGTACCTCGTTAAGCTAAAACTAAATAGTGCGCTGCTCAAATTAAATGAAGTATATTTTTTCACGAAATATTAATTAAAGAAATGAACGAAACCAACATCTCTAATTGTGAAGTGTTGCGGTTCGGAGCGCACCGGTCAAGGTTATCTGTCCAATTAATATCGAATAGGAAGACAATTTATCCAATCGATTAACAATGCATTCTTGATCGTTAGCTCTCTCAATATGCAGACAGCTTCAAAAACTTAACTCGCTTAAAATTCAGTTTATTCCAAATTGAATCGCTTTCATACTCCGAATTCAGTTAAGCTGATGTTTGCACCGAGATTGTATTGTGTGTGTGTGCGGTTTTTTGTTTAATCAGACGTAAGTGTGAATTTGAAATGGAGAAAAACCGGCCAGTCGCCTATGTAATAAAAACGTTTATGTAACACATCGGCTACTTGAAGAAATATGGACAAGTTTATTCATAACTTCAATAAAATGACAATAGTACGATTTTAAAATAATTTTAAACTGATACTCACTGTTTGAAATTTAAAGTTTTTGCTAAGCAGAGCTCGAAAATCACATTATCTCGTAAACACTGTACAAAACATCGATGGAATATTAATTGGCAGATTGCGCGGGAATCAATTGATATAACAGAATTTATAGGCGGCACTCGTAGAGTAAACAATCATCACAAGAGACCTAAGCTAACAGAGCCGGGGCGCAGCGGGCACAGTGGGCGCGCGAGCGATACTTCCACGCGAGTAAGCTTTACATGATCCCAGCCCAGACCTCTCCTGACAACCCGCATTAACCAATCCGCACGATTTAATTTCACTCCATATAAGACTATCGTATTATACAACTTTAACCTTATTCTCAGAGGTTATCGGATCACCAAATCACAACACGTTATCACTAACACATAATAACATTATCCAATACCAGAGCGCTGTTTTAGTTTGAATTTACTTAATATCTCTAACAGCTGTAGCAGTATTAGGGTGGCAGCAAAGGGAATGCAATTTACAGCCCTCAGTGGTACTCGCTGAACTTCTTACAGTAAATATTCATTAGTGTACTTTTGTATGTGATGTTATTCACGCACACGACCGTGCTCCTCCGCCGCCACTAAACGTCCGGCCCAGTTTGCAGGCTCGTAAACTGTTTATATTCATGCCAACGACTCCAAGAACACGGTCCACATCAGACACTTACAAAATTATCACACAGACCCTACGCATTAACATTTATTTTGCATGATCGCTCCAAACAATTTGCTAAATAATTATAGGCTTAAATAATACAATATTAATCTGCACCAAAATTACAAAGTCTAACTTTTATTGGTAGGTAAATTTTCTTATGGCCACTTTCCAATTTAGAAACTCGTGTAGCGCGTAATTACTTTAAGCGAATATGCTGTAATGCCGAATTTCAGAATCCGATTCGTTAAACTTTGATTCAGGGCCGGTCGAAAAATACAATTTATTTAATGAAGTGTCGACGTGACGTCAGATCTTGACTTAGATGCGGAAAATCCGCTCGAGATCGCCATAAAAATGAAAAAGTAACAGACTTTTAACGGCTTGAATGTAAAACTTCAAAAAAGCCATGTTTATTCGTATGGAAATGGCCGTTTTTAAGTTTTTAGTGGGCTGCAGTGGCCTGTCCTGTGATTTCTAGTGATCCAAAACCGAACGTAGCTGTTAGCTACCCTCAGATCTCTTTAAGCTTTTTATGGTCTAGAGTGATACTATTAGTTTGACACAAAATGGTGGACGTCAGTCAATAAGCTGTATCAGTTGTATTGCGGTTCGGAAGCGCCGAAGCCGCACGCTCGACTCCAGAGCCTAAATTCCAAATGATGCTTGAGAAAACGGAATGAAACAGGAAGCCTCGAGAAATATATCAGCAATGTATAGCTCATTGTGGTACAAAGATAGAATACAAAAATATTTCTTTGAAATGAGACCTATTTGAGACGGTAAATGTTTCCGTGCGTTTTAATAAATGACCCGCAACCGCCGGTTATTCAAGAAGTATTTTATTTTGAATGCTTATTTAAATTATTTATATTTTATGTTAATATAATCTTACACGAAAAGAAATGTAAACGTTAACGGTGACTTTTGTTTGAGAACATGTTTATCTCGAGTGGAAATGTTAAGCCAAGAATAAAAGTTGAGTTGCTTTACATAAAGTGCAGTCGTCGGAGAGTGGAGCACATAACGGGTACTCAGCATCGCGCGGTATCTCACACTTCCTAATTTAACACACAATAAAAACAAAGAAATGTTAATTCAATAAACATTTAATTCTGAAAAGTAAAGGGACACTAGCTATCTGATAACCAAGCATCGATGTGATGCACTCAGGCCCACGGCCACGCACTCGGATCAGATATGATTCGATAACTAAAAGCATGTTTATCATGGCAGGTCAACATTTTATGAAGATATAAATCACATATGCATCCTCGTTTTCCGACGTTGTTGATGGATTATTGCTGCGTAAGAAAAACCCGTGGTTTCGTAAGCCCACGCTATACGCGATATAACAACAATCAGATTAAAATCCGTTTTCTTTGAAAAGGGTTTTGTTCTGTCACGAACAAAGCTTAAAACATACTTTGCTATAACAATAAAGATATAAAGCTTAGGCGCAACGCTACTCTGGTATCTAAACGAACTGAGGGTAAAGTGCTCCGTGTGCCTAGATTACCAATCCCGTTTTTATTTAATTTAGTCTCGATGCGAAATTCGGTAGGAAACGTGAATCCTTCTGGTGGGAAAGGAATGTAAAGGTGGCATTGTTCTACCGCAACTGAGGAACGCAGCTCACATGTAAGCTGGACGCATACAGACGGCTATGCAAGCTTCCAGATTTACTAACTGCTTCCTCCCCATAAGAGAACATCTGTGCCCAGAATTAAAATTCCTCGCCTCTTCCAAATAAAACGCGGCACAGTCGGATTGTTTCAAAGTTTACAATCAACTTTTGCAAAATGGAGAACTGGGTACGCACACGGAATACAATTACTTCAATTGTACTACGGAGCCAAAATACTAAATATCTTTATAAGTAAACAAAATGTATTGCTATTATTTCGTTCACATTTATATTTGAACCGGCAAACCACCGAAATATAAGGCATTTTTATTTTGTAGGTGTCGTTTTTTCCCTAAAGAATTCCTTGATAGCCGAGTAAATGTTAAAAGACTTTCATGAAAAACATTTTTCCTGCCACTAAAATTCATTGGGAAGGAAGGACTCGTTGTTTCGTGTAGCCACTTATTCTTGTTTGTTCAGATATTTTGTCACTATTTAATGTAAATGATTAATTTCCTTGGACGACGGGGCAGCAATGGTCGAAACGCCCACGTAGCTACGAGCTTATATAAGTACAATAGGAGCTGAGTATGGCACAAACAATAACTGTTGCCTTTACGAGATAATATATGGTAGATAGATCAGTGAGCAGCCGACAGCCTGGTGGCGGAACATTAATCACGAGCCGCCTCCACAGCCGGGCCACGCAAAAATGATAGCCGCTTTATTAGACTCTACGAATTTACTACGGAGCTACGAAACTTCGCAGGCCCGCGAATTTCATCAACTTTTAAACATTTTGCGAAATTAATATATTTTTTCCACTCCACAAAACGTGATTTTTGAACCATTTTGAATTGAATTGCAAAGTTTTTTGACTGTATTATTTATAAAAAGTGTTTGTATTTATTGGGTGTTGTATTAAATAATCGAAGTAAACAAACAATTGAGACGGAGGCGCCAAAATGCTATCGCCAGGCATCTTCTGTTCTTTTCAAATTTAAAATATTTTTCAATTTTTAAAAACACGTGGTTGATTTAATTTCGTATGTTTGTAATAAATTAGTAGAAAAAAAATTAAAAAGAGACGTAAAAAGTTTTTAAGCATCTAAACATCTTTAACACATACATATTACATACAAAAATTGCAGTCGAATGTATAATTTGCCGCTTAGCTGCCGATTTAAAATAAGAAGAAAAAGAGGTGAGAGCAACAAAAGCGATGTCAAATTGTTATATAACACGGGATGATGCAGAGCTGATGAGAAAACAAAACAAGTATCAAATGAATGCAAGTAAACAAATGGCTTACCGCCTTCGCTGGGAAGTTTGAAGTCAACAACTGAGTATCAAAGTTTAGGATCTAGACTTGGAAAGTGTTTGAGAACAAAGATTGCGAAGTCGGAGGAGGTCGGTAGCGCGGGAGGTATCGGCCGGCCGTACTACGCGGCACGCGCTCGCTCGGGGTGAGTGGTGCGAATGCGGCGAGGGTGCGAGTTCGTGTGAGGCGCGCGACCCACGGCAGGTCCGCTCTCCAGGGCGGCTCAACTTGGAATCGGCGTCGCCCTCCGCCACGGTTATGTAACACGCGCGGCGTAGCGCAGCGCGGCCCGGACCCCGCTCACCCCGCTTTTAGGGAAAAGATGAATGAGTAAAGTTTCCTAACGGACGTTAGTCCATGGATCGCGCTCGGTTTCAGATCGGCCCGCGGTTACATAAAGGTCCTCGACACATGCGCGCTGCCTGCTCAGCGTTATCAGCGTCACATCATGAGCGTGAAAACAAGATCGCGCGCGCCGCTGAAGGGACCTCGCACCCGCCACGCGCCCGCGCTCGCCAGTACGTGGCCTGTGCGTTCGGCCCGTGCCTTCTGTACACAATTTTATAACGTACTACGATCGGACCGTCATATTTCTCGACGGTAGCGGTACTCTGACAGCTCATTCGAATTTGTACGTAACGATATTTTACGGGCGCTAGGAGGTACCCAGAGCGGACGGACCCTTTACCCGCAGCGTCATAATAAAAGTATTATTAATTAATGTCATTTTACCGGGGGAGCTTACCTTTATTCAGGTTTAAATGGTTCCCATAGGTCCGTGCTTTATGGAACTTATGCAAATCTGTTAGATGGGCCTGGTTATTACACTATCATTACTTTAGAGTGTCTCGTATCATCACAGCGGTTTAAGTACGTCTAAATTTTTGTTAGGTAAAATAAATAAACGTTACTAGCTACGAGTCTATGTTGGGGGACATCACGATGTTTTTATATCCTTGTTGTATAAAATGGGATCAATGAAAACGGGTTCAAATCCCATTTTTCCCGTCATAAGCGTTATTGTCAATATTTGGCTGTTTTATAGAGAACTTTAGAGTTTGTGTTTCGGAAAACTTATACAAATAAACGCATTAAATGAGGTTTGTACAACATGTAATATGCAGTCACGTCAGCCGTGCCTCAGACGGGGAAACTTAGTAAATACAAAGCGCATCTATTCAGTTACACAGTTGTCTAACAACTCTCATGTACTTGATTAGTCTCATTGAAATTCTCCGCGTTAATTGCAATCAGTCAGATATTATTCAAGAGGCGTGGGTGGTGTCTATGGTATTGTACCTACAGCTCGTACAAGATCGACACTCGGTAGAATGTAAATTTTCTTTAGAACTTACGTAGTGACTAATGTTTTTGGTTAGGTTATATAGAAGGGAAAGGAATTCATAGTTATAACTACGTTAGAGAAATTGATTGTGTTATTAATATCAAATTGTTATACTTATTTGGAGACTGTTGAGTTTGATTGAACGTGGAACCTCTTTGGTCGAGTTTCGAGCCTTTACCTTGCTATGGTAGAAATACATTACCATGGCATGTCGTCTATCGGCTTCATGCATGAATCTTTATTAAGCTTTGATGATGGTTTTATAAGTAGCTTAGGTACTTCTTATAATTTTTAGCTATAGGTTTGAAATCGCCAATCCGCCTTGAGCAATCGTGGTGATTAATGCTCAAACCTTCTCCGTGTGAGGAGAGGCCTTTGGTCAACTGTGGGCACTTATATGTAAACTGATGTTGTGATGTGCAAAGTTTGTAAATAGGGCAGTCGCCATGTCCATTGTTTTCGGATACTATCATAATTTTCAGAAAACCCTTCTCCCCGGAAAGGTGGTGCAATTAGACATTTTCCTTATAGGTCCGCATCGAATTTTTGATACCTTTGATGTGATTGTAAAAACGTCTTATGTACTTAAGTACATATATAAGCTATATAACTAATATATGATATATTTCTTTTAGTTTAAATATTATTCTATCTTAGAAATAACAGAGGTGGGCCTCCTCTCCACTGCCAAAGAGTTAAAATATGAGGATTGTTTAGCTTTGGCAGTTAAGCTATGAAACCCTAAAAAATCCTTTGGGCCAGGCGATGGTCTCAGGCATTGGCCATTGTTGATGGTTATGATGACGAAGGCCTTAGTACTTGCATATATTGTTTATAAAAACCTTTCCCCATACTATAATGTTCTCTTGTATAGTGGCTGCGTTTACAAATATAATTTTTGACATATGTGCATATGACAACCAGACCCGAAACAACAATTCGTGGATCACTCAAAGAGTTGTTCCGCGCAGAAATCGAACCCGCAACACGTTGCACGCCAGCTAGCAGCCGAGCCCGTCAACAGTGCAGTCAAGTGAATATTATTGTTATGTAGATGTCCCTTAAACTACTTTTTAAAGAAACTTTTTGTGAATAATTCCCTTCATAGAAATACTTTGTTAGTCCCGCTTTACCCCGAGATCACCGAACCTTGTTTTACGTTCAGTTCGCGAGGTGTAATCTACACAAACTGAGTTTTATTACAGGAATAAAAGAAAATAAAACCCTTAATCCCTTCAAATCTTATAAGGAAGTGGATTTAAAGGTACATATGGGAAACAAAAAAGGGATTCGAACGTTCATCATCATCATCAGCCGGAAAACTTCCACTGCTGGACAAAAGTCTAAGTACCCCTAGTTGTCTACGCCTAACGACAAGTCGCCACTCGCAACCATTGGCTCCACACGACTCTGTCAAAGTCGTCGGTCCACTTAGAAAGAGGTCTGCCCGTGCTACATTTTCCACTCGAACACTTTTTTTTCTTTATTTATTCTTCTTTACACAAAACAGTCTGAATGGCGGATTGAATGCCTTAAGGCATTCTCTAACAGTCAACCATATTTTTTTTGTCATGGCAAAATCATCAAATGGCTTCACCCGCCCAAGGCCGGGCGGGAGGGAGTGTCAGACTCTTGCTGACTACAAACCCCCCTGTTCCTTCTCCTGCTTTGGCCCGAGGTCGCAGTGCCTCATTGCGCTTACCCCGCAACCCCGGATGAACAGTCAACCATAGGGCACTTTTCTGACCCAGCTTCAGCTTGCTGATTTTAAGAGCTTTGTCGGTGATTCTGGTTCTTTGACTAATTTCCATATTGCAGATTTTGTCGCGCAAATAAACTCCATGCATAGCTCTCTCCATGGCTTACTGGGCGACTTTTATCTATCTATCAGACCAGAAGTGAGGGACCCTGTAGCATAGTTACGGCGTGTATTGATTCTATACTATACCTATAGATTGGCTCATTGGTCAAGTGGTCGCAAGGACCACTTGAAAGTCAGGTTCAATTCTTCAATTCGTACACAGTTTCCATAAACTGCAAAATCCCAAATAGGGCTTTCCAACTCTAACTGACATCCCTGATGAATATTCATTCCACATTTGTTTATTATAGTTTTCTATGAACTACGTTAACAAAAGCTAACATGAACACAGAATAATTAAAAACATTAAATATGTAAATAAGTTAACTCTAATTTACGTTGCCCAGCGGAGTTTAAGATTTCACGAACAAAAATGTATAAAAAAAGAATTTTAACAACAAACTTAACAGTATACTATCTTATACTCGGTCCACTTTAAAATACCCTGAAGAAACCTCGTTACATTCTTTATACAAGATTAATTACATTAATTAAGTTTAGCTGAGCGTACCCTTGGCATCAAGATGCTGTTTCGTCAAAGGACAGATATGAATAAGTACCGAAAAATGATAAAAACGACACTTTATTTACAGCGATTGAGCCGTTTTCTAGGTCAAAAATAAATTAAAAAAATATTACCTTATTAAATTGTTATTTTTAGTGCTATGTGTTACTTTTTAAATTTAAGTACTTTTATCCATTTTTATTTGACGATAACTTATTAAAAGTTCCAGAAATAAGTAGGTAGATATTTAATGTAAAAATATATGACGTCATAATATTACTTATGTCATCTTGCGATTTCATCAAAATTTCGCAGAAAAAAATTCAATATTTGGATAGTTGAAAACTACCAGGTTCTAGAGTCGAGTCGCAAGAAACATACTTTTTTTGTAAAGGGAAAACCGTAAAATAACTTCTCTCGCTCAGGGTGAAGCGGGAAAGAGAGTATCAGATACTTAATAACAAAAAAAATCCCCGTCCCTCCTCGTACTCTATGTATAGGCTAAGGCTACGTTACCTTATTGCAGTTTTAGGCCCCGTCCGCGGTAACTACGGAGTTCGAGACACTACATAGCGTTAAAACATGTGTGAATTTCCCTGCACAGTTTTATTATTAAAGAATTAGGCAGAAAATGAATGACGCATCATCTTGATGGGCAGCCATCGGCACTGCATAGGCTACTAGCACCCGTTACTTCACTACAATTAAGTTCGTTGCTAATAGTATCGATCGAATTACTACCGCGACTCATTGCGTAGAGCGGACCTAGTCATTGTACAGTCAAAAACCAAAAAATATTTAATTTATGTCTTTGCCAATGGTTGTGATGGGGATTTGGGGATTTAAGAATAGTGACCCTCAAATGCAACTTAACCGTACTGGGAAACACACTACATAATTTATATACAAAATGAGAACCCTTAGTTATATACTTGTATGGAGCGAACTAATAAACAGAAATAGTTATTGATATTTTTCTGTTACACAATACCCGGGACTAAACAATATATGGGTATTCATGGATTTGCAACCTAAACGTATACCTACACATCATTTCAGCTCAACCGGTTGAAAAAAAGCCGCTACAAAATTGTAATTTAAACAAAAAACTGTAATGCAAACTAAAATTACAAACGCGAAAGTATTTCCTTCACGTCTAAACTACCTATTTATGTGAAATTAGGTGCAGACATAGTTTGGAACTCGAGAAAGAACATTGCGCAAGAAATAACAAAAGTCTGCAGGATGACACTATTTCACACGAACAAAGTCGCGGGCAAAAGCTAGTTCATAATAAAAAGGAATGCCACATTCAATAACCCACCACTGCGTCCTGTGTTTAAAAATGCAGGGAAACATCCAATAAAAACAAGCAATTAAAGCGATTATATGTGGCCTGTAGTTACATGCAGGAAAGGAAATTCCTGTAAAATATCGATTTCATATTAAATGGATTTGCGTGACTTTTTCAAATCGAAAGAGTAATGTATTATTGACA